TAATAATAATAATAATAATAATAAAAAATAGCTTCATTTCTGCCTGTGTGCAAAAGAAAGCCAACTATTATACATCTGGACTTGGAAGACAAATAACAGACCAAACTGGAATCTGAACACTCACAATTTCATTTTTTCATATTGCATGTCTTTCCTGAGTAGCACTGGGCATGGATGTTGTGGTCTTGCTCTGAGATGGTAGTATGCCCTTTGGTGGTGTTTTAAATACTTCTTTTTAAAATATAAAGAAGCAGAGAAAAACCCTTAAACTTCCAGCTTTTTCTTTATGTTGCTTGAGAAATATGTGGAGATGTTTAGTTTTTCTGCTTTACAGTCAGGAAGGTAGTTTAACCTTCTGCAGAGAGCTAGTTGCAGAAGTAATCATCCTCTGATTTCTCTATTTTATGGACAGATTCATCCATCAAGTCCCGAGTGCAAAGCTAGGAGTGCTTACAGAGCACTTTCCCATATGTGTTTGATTACTGGGGCACAGATGCTGTTCTGGGTAATTAATGTGAGAGTATGATATCTTTCAGATGGGTGCTGTGTCTTTATTTCCAGGGTTAGATGACCTCTCTTGCTTATATTCTCTTCTGTCTATGGCATTTTATGTAGGTTATTGATTTTTTTGTTTGCGTGCTGGAAATAAAGTGCTTTTTGAAGGCCTGGTAAGAAAAATCAGGCAGACCTTGTATTTGCTTGAGGGAAATGCTACTAAGAATAAAAAGATGTGGTTTATAGTAGTCTTCCAGCTACCTTGTATGAAAAGGGATTTAGTGCTTCTAGCCCCCAGCCTTAATAAGTGGTTATTTAAATTACTGTCCTAAAGACTGTTTATTAAACAGTCAAATAAATGTTCTTGACTTAGAAGTTTTCATTTAAGGTTATTGAGGCTTAGGTGACCTAGGGCACTTATTTAGATCACAATTTTATATGTAAACTTATCTCCTTTTCTAACAATTAAAATTTATCTTTTTTTACAAAATGTCAAAACAAATTTTAAAATAATATTTTATTGTTTGCAAAATTAAAAAGTGAAGTTCAATTGAAATTGTTGGAGTAAGGGCAAAGAGAAGATAATCTTTTTCAGTAAAAAGCTTTAAGTAAAGCTTGAAGTTTCTTCCTCACCCCCTCAAAAGACACAACCTTGAAAATTTTAGGGTGTCAATATTTGAGATTAACCTGAGGTCATTCTTCAAATGAGGACAGTTTCACCAGTGGAACTTGGGAAACTTTCAGCTTACAAAAGTAAAATTCTGGGGCTCTGAGGTGGTTTTTAGCAACATTTTCAGTGGTTTGTAATCTGTGTAATCTGTTTCTCACAGCTAGATGTGTCAGCGATGCTGTCTGTCCATAGTGTGCATTATGTTGTGAGCCTGTATTAAGACTTCTAAAACAGGATTGCATACTTTCAGGTATTACCAGAACTTTGGCTGTCATAAATTCTGTGGCATGTGATACCTTATTTAACTTGAGGTATAGGTAGTCTTCACACAGTTGGATTTTGCCTTCTTTTCTAACTTAACATAATTCAGTTAAAGATGTGTCAGGATACATGTGATAAAGATTTCAGAAAGTTGCTTATCATTTTGTGTTTGTGTGTAACTTCATTTCTTTCAACTAGTACTGCCCTTTTTCTATGGGTGATCAGTGACACGTGCGAATCAGGGGCTAGTTTGAATGCAGCAGATTGATGGCAGAATTTTTAATCCGTCCTCTATCTTAGCCTAATTCTGTCTATGTGCAAAGCAACTGAAGTTTTATAACAGGCTTCAGTGGAAGCAGGAAATCCTGCTTGGGATGGACTTTTGAAAGGGCTGTTATGCCTTGGCATCTTCACCCTTCTTTTTTGTGGGCTTAAAATGGAAGCTCTCCAGTACTGTTGTTCTTGTTTACTTAAATAATATGCCATATGCTGCAGGGAGGAGAGTGTTTGGTTTGTTAGTTCTGATGTACACTCGCCTATACACCTGTATTCTGCCCATTCTTTCCTGATTGCTTGTAAATCTTATCTGGAAAAGACCTTACCTTGTCACTGAAGGCTTCTTGATGACGTAACTTCTTCAGCTGCAAAAAACAAACTGAGTTTTTTAATAGTTATTTTGGAAAAGGATTAGTTTGTGTAGAGCATCTTTGTTCAGTTAATGTGACTTACTAGCTTTTATTTTACAACTGCATTTTTTTATACATTGTATGATATACTAAACGTTTTTCTCCCTTGTGTTGAGAGTGGGAAAGGCAAGTCTTAGAGGTTAAACTCGGCATGCTAGATTTGCAAAAGCTATGTACAGGCTGTTTCTGAAAATGAAAGGATCTGCCTGGAAAAGGGGCTAAGGTGTATTTTGTTTCCTTTTTTTTTTTTTTTTTTTTTTTTAAGGATTCCTAAGTTTTAAAGGCTAAAACATTAGGTGTGACAAAGACAGGGAGTGTTTGCTGAGCTGGAAGCTGCACCCGCTAGATATCCCATGGAAGTATGGTGCAAGTAACTCCCACCTAGCCTTGCCTGCCTGTCAGCTTTTCTAATAGAGGGCAACTGAAATTACTGTTGCTTTCTCAGGCACAGGAAGTTATTCCCACCCCTCTTTTGCACAGAGCTCATTTAGTCAGCAAAGTGTCACCTGAGCCTCCTTGCCTCAGATCAGTAGATTTAGTTCTAGTTCTGTTTCAAATTCAAATGATTTTTTTTAACTGGTAATTGACACATGCTTTTATAGATCATTCAACTTAGAAGTCTTCTAACATCTAGCTTTTCTTTTAGTAGTTTTCAATAAGTCACAGGCTAGAGTTGTATTTTGCTTATGGAAATGGGGTTTTACTTAGGGACCTAAAAGGACATAAAATGTCCTTTTTATGACACTACATTTTAAAAACATAGAGCAAGGTTCAAAATAGCTGAATCTGTTACATAAAAATGAAAACTTCTATTCTAGATAGGCCTGTTTGCTCTATGAAACTTGTAGAAGCTGATCTATATTCTTATGGAGTTTTCCTCTTTCTGTGGCATGTATATTTATTATTATTGGCAGGACCTCTCAAGTAATTATGTAATCTTTTGAGATTTTTAGTGAAAGCAAAGCTAAGGTGCCTCACTAGTCTCAATGTGGGCATGGTTATGAATATTAGTAATGTCTTCTCTGTATTTTAGGAAAGATGTTTGATGCAGAAACCATCTTAAGTGGTTATAGATACATTCCACAAAGGTAACTGTGGTATTTAGCTGTTAGGTGCTTCTCTAGGGAGAAGGAATAGGTGCTTCAGATAATTTTTTAGAAGTGCATAGGAGACTAGCTCAGCTGGAAGATACCATAATGAAGAATTTTAGCATGCATAGCTGTCATTTATCTGAGCAATTGCAGACTCCTGTAATGGGACAAAAATCTGTCATTTTACAATACAGCATCCTTCCTTCGCACTGAGTTAGTGAGCTGTAGGGAGAGAGGTGGAGCAAAGGTGGAATATTTCTGTTGTATCTCTACCATGGTTGAGCCCGTGGCAAAAGTTAGCTTTTCTAACATGCGCCTGCCAATGTCATTGAAGTGCCACAGCAGTCCATAGAAGCATCTCCAAGGAGTTGCTTGGAAATGAATTTTCCACAAAGAATTCGTCCATAGAAGTGAGAAGTGCAGACCCCAAGGGGATAGTTGTTGGTTGCTGCTGTTGGAGATCATTTGCATGGGAGAGCATACTATTGTGCTGCCTGTCCTCTGACCTCAGAGCTGATGAAGTCAAACGTTTGTCTGCTGGGAAAGGAAGGGTGCCTTTTGTTGCTTCTGTTTATTGACTCCACTTTTTTTTTTTTTAGAGTAACATCAGAGGTTTTTTTTTTTATTTCTTTCCAGCTGTGATAGACAAAATGTCAATAGAATAAGTGACCTGCCCACCAGAACTTGCCATGAACCATTTGGTTGGACCACCGGAGGGGGAGGTAAGTGAAGAGCCAGCAAATGGAGCAGTGAATGAGTCAGTGGAGGCTGACCTGGAGCACTCAGAGGTGGAAGAGGAGCAGCGGTATGCAACTCGCTACCCAGAGCATACAAACAGCAGCCAAGGGGGCCTGTCTGGGCAGGAGGAGGAAGGGATGTTAGCTCGGTCAGCCAGCACTGAGAGTGGTTTCCACAATCACACGGATACTGCGGAAGGGGATGTGATAGCCGCTGTGGAGGATGGTTACGACACAGAGAGAGTTCAGGAAAATGAGGATGAGAGCGCATATGCGGTGCAGTACAGGCCTGAGTCTGAGGAGTACACGGAGAATGCTGAGGCTGAGCATGGCGAGGCCATTCATAATCGAACATTGCCCAGTCACTTACATTTCCATTCCATCGAACACGAGGAAGCCATGAATGCAGCCTACTCGGGCTATGTCTACACACATCGCCTCTTTCATCGTGGAGAGGATGAACAGTATGCTGAGCCTTATGCTGACTACGGACTGCAGGAGCATGTCTATGAGGAGATAGGAGATACACCAGACCTCGATGTTAGGGAGGGGATCCAGCAATATGAGCGGGAAAGAGAGGAAGCTGACAATTACCGCAAGGAGGCACTTGGTGCTCGCCTTCACCATTACGATGAACGGTCTGACGGAGAGTCTGACAGCCCTGAGAAGGAGGCAGAGTTTGCACCCTACCCAAGAATGGATAGTTACGAACAAGAGGAGGACATTGATCAGATTGTAGCAGAGGTGAAGCAGAGCATGAGCTCCCAGAGCTTAGACAAGGCAGCTGAAGACATGCCAGAGGCAGAGCAAAGTTTGGAGCATGATCATACTCTTGCCGGTGGTGGGAATGAAAGTAATGGCCAGCTCCCAGCTGGTTCTCGAGTTACATCCAGCTCGGGAGAATCTGTACAGAGGTACAGCAAGGAAAAGAGAGATGCAATTTCACTGGCCATCAAGGATATTAAAGAGGCTATTGAGGAAGTGAAGACAAGGACCATCCGTTCTCCTTATACCCCTGATGAACCTAAGGAGCCTATCTGGGTGATGAGGCAGGACATCAGTCCAACCAGAGACTCTGACGACCAGAGGCCACTAGATGGAGATGTGAGTATACAAAGCTTTCAGCTCACAGGTTGTGTATGTCTCATTCCTTTAACATACATGGCAGTGAAGGAGAGTGCATTTTATTCCTGTTCTGTGACTCCTTCAGTAAAGTATGTAATGCTTTGTCTATTTTAACTTTGTACGCTAGAAGTAAGCATGTGCATGATCAGTGGGCCAGTTTTTTCTTTATGAAGCACTGCTGATCCCAGTTACACTATACAAGAATTTGTCACATGAAACTCTTTACTTGGGTTTGGGGTTTTTTTTGTAACAAATGCTGTTACATTTTTTACTGCCATGGGATATTTTAGAATAACTACCAACACTTTGTCTTCTGTTATCTATCCTTATGTGTTTCTGTTAATTCTAGGTTTCTGAGTTTCATTTTCTGTCACATGATAATCCTAAAAGTTCCATCAGAAATCTGTTAAGATTCTTTGTGATGGTGTCATAGATCAGATTAATACTCTAGAAAAGTTGCAGGTTTTTTGTCCACTTGCAGGCTCTAGAAATGTGTTTTGAACTGCAGCATAGTACATTAGCACTGTAAAGTTTATTCACTTTCCAGCAACCTAAGTATTGAAGGTCATTGTTCAGATTTACAGCATACATCATTTCTGAAATTCTGTCCTATTGACATGAGACTTAACTTAGATCAGAATCACTTCACAGTTTGTGGTTCCAGCTGCCGGTATGATGATCTTTACTTGAAGTTTTATGAGGTTTCTGCATTTGTAATAAAGTAAGTTCATAAACAACTATTAATTGTATTAAATTTAAGCCTGATATGAAAAGAGCTGGTCGGCTAAGTTTATTGTCCAGAAATAGTCTATCATAGGGCCCCATACTATTACTGCAAGGGTAACTGCACTGCAAACGTCTGCTCCATCCTCTTTATTGCTCTGGAATGTTTTTGGTGACCTTTGGTTTTTTGGAAGAACACTGGAAGAGAGAAAATTTTGTGTGTAGTTTAGTGTTTTAAACTGAATTATTGTAACCTTCTAGGACTGCATCAGGGCTGTCCAAAACACTTTGGCCTCTGCAGAGGGAATTCAGATGGTGAAAAAAGCTCACATGTAACCAGTATGTGCTGGAGATCAGTCAGTTATTCAGTCAGTTTTGTAACATTGGCCTTGAAATAAGAAGGAATTACATAAAGAGAGTGTTTTACCTTCAGGCAGACACTCTTTTTTTTCCCCCAGAAGTATCAAGGAGCTGCACATAAGTGATGCAAATTGGGTGCTTTTATTATCTTCAGTTATTTTGCAGGTCTGCTTTGAAAATTGTTCCCACTATTTTTTTTCTTTTCTTAGAAAAATCATTTTTCTTTTAGAGATAAAACCTACTTGAAAATACTTGTCATGATTTTGTGTTGTTAATCATATGATACTGAAGACCTCTATAGGTCTGAATAGTAGTCAGTTTTTATTCAGCTAGGAGATCTCCACAAGAGAGCCATGAAGCCAGGGAGTCAGAAGAATTATTTGCAGTTGAGACTCGTTAAATACAACAGCCTCTTTTGACTTTTTTCACAAGGAAGTAACTGCCACTCCTCAGTGCTGAGCATTTGGATGATACATTAACGGCAGGATGTTTGGTAGAATACGAGTTGGAAGGGTCCAGAAACAGTTTTGAGAAGGTAACAATCCAGAAGTGTTCAGCTGGCCTGCAGCTAGGTATAGGTTGGGAAAGGAGCATTAGGAATGTTAGGAAAGAAGTGCAATGACTGTGGTGATCAGGAAAGCTACAGATCACTTATCTATTTGTTTTTAAGATACCTTGTTTCCGGGTTTATTCACAGTTTAATCTACCAAGAATTTCAGTCATTCCTATAAATTTTTCCTCAAAAGTATTCTTTGGTAGGCATATGAAAAAACAAAATTACTCATAACCAATGGACAATTCTACTGTAATAAACTCTGGTAGTCCTGTGATGTAGGAGGCAGATAGCAGACTTCTGTGAATAAATAAATAATGTACCGAAGTACCTGCTTAATATTTAACAATGGAGAGTATTTGCTGTTAGTGATGTGCGCTTTCACTTGAATAAGAGGCCGTCTGGACAGCTATTTGTGTATTTGATAAAAGCTGAAAAATTCTCATAGTGTCCTTTGAGTAAATGTAGTAAGGTGGTTTTGGGGTGGGTTTTTTTAAGTTTACCACACATGTAAGGTATAAACAATTGAGGGAGGTGATTCTGCCCCTCTACTCTGCTCTTGTAAGGCCCCACCTGGAGTGAGTGCTGTGTCCAGTTCTGGAGCCCCCAACACAAGAGAGACATGGAGCAGCTAGAACAAGTCCAGAGAAGGGCCACCAGGATGATCCGAGGGCTGGAGCACCTCTCCTATGAGGACAGGCTGAGAGAGTTGGGGCTGTTCAGCCTGGAGGAGAGAAGGCTCCGGGGAGATCTTATAGTGGCCTTCCAGTACCTGAAGGGGCTACAGGAAAGCTGGGGAGGGACTTTTCATAAGGGCAGTTAATGACAAAACAAGGGGAAATGGCTTTAAGCTGAAAGAGGGTAGGTTTAGATTAGATATTAGGAAGAAGTTTTTCACTGTGAGGATGGTCAGACACTGGAACAGGTTGCCCAGAGAAGCTGTGGATGCCCCCTCCCTGGAAGTGTTTAAGGCCAGGCTGGATGAGGCTTTGAGCAACCTGGTCTAGTGGAAGGTGTCCCTGCTGATGGCAGGGGGGTTGGAACTAGATGATCTTTAAGGTCCCTTCCCATCCAAACCATTCTATGATTCTATGATTCTATGACATGTATTTCCAAAATCTGTTTACCAGAAAACTCTAATCCAAAGCAGGCCATCATTTGCATATGGCCTCTTGAGGGTATTTTTTTTCAAATACAATAGCAGTTTGCAACTCCCTTATGAGGAGCATCTCCCTTCTGAGGAAAGGCTGAGGGAGCTGGGTCTCTTTAGCTTGGAGAAGAGGAGACTGAGGGGAGACCTAATTAATGTTTATAAATATGTTAAGGGTGAATGTCAGGAGGATGGAGCCAGGCTCTTCTCAGTGATGCCCAATGGTAGGACCAGGGGCAATGGGTGCAAGCTGGAGCATAGGAGGTTCCATGTAAACATAAGGAAAATCTTTTTCACTGTAAGGGTGACAGAGCACTGGAACAGGCTGCCCAGGGAGGTTGTGGAGTCTCCTTCTCTGGAGACATTCAAAACCCACCTGGACGCCTTCCTGTGTGATCTCATTTAGGTTCCTGCTCCGGCAGGGGGATTGGTCTAGATGGTCTTTCAAGGTCCCTTCCAATCCCTAACACTCTGTGATTCTGTGATTCTGTGAGTTAGAGCTGCACAGCTGCAATAATGTGACATCAGGAAACTGACCCATGATAGAAAAGCATGTGGAACTGCAGTTAGGTTGTTTTCCGAGTATGAAATGAGAAAGAATCTGTTCACATTGTACTGAATAATGTTTATAGCTGGAGACCAGCAGGGAGCTTATGGTACACACATGTCTGAGAGTGGTAGAGGGGGATATTCTTTAGGAAAAGGTCTTCTGCATGCACACAGTTATCTCAGTGGAAGGGAAGACCCATATCCCATTTGGGTAGCTCTCGCCTATCATTCTTCTCTGTCAGATTACCCACCAGAAACCTGCTGTGAAGGTGCCTACCCAAGCACAAAAATAGCAGTGTTTAAAGGTCTAAATAGAAGACATTTGCAGTGCATGAATCTGGAGTTAAGGGTAAACACATGTTTAAGTGAAAAAGGGAATAGTTTTGTTAGTAGATATCTCAGAATACAATTTTCTGGTGTATAAACTGTATGGAAGGTCTAAAAAAGCATCTTTAAAATGTCATAGAACTTTGAGAATAGTGAGTTGCTTGCTTGTGGAAATACAGAGACCTGCTGAGAAAAACACTGAAAGGGACAAAAGCTCGGGTAGATTTTTTTTTTTTGCTGGGACTTAGAGTATTTCTGTCCTCTTATGTTCAGAGAAGAGAAGCAGGCTACCTGTTTCACTTCTGCCATAATCAGTGGAAAACAATGGTTTGAAGCAATAAATTCTCCATTTCAGAACTAAATACCATGACCTTTTTCTGAGGTCCATTCAGTTATCCATGATAGATCTGAAAGCCAAGTTTTGTTGACCTGCATGCATGGTTTGTTGCTGTGTGCCAAGACTTCAATTTTGCAAATCCCTCTCATCAGTGTTCACAGTTTCTGTTCCTCCGTAGCCACTTGAGGTGGTACAGTGTTGGAATTATTCTTAATATGAAGTAAAACCACATACATATGGTTTTTGTGAAGTAGAAATTCAGAGCTGAAGACAGCCCTTTGAGATGGAACAGAACTGAGCTGTATTGTTTTGCTTCTCTGTTCCTTTTGGTTACATATATATTATTTCAAGCTTTGAGTTCTCCGTTGCAGGGTTTTCTCAATTCTGATAACTCCAGAAGTGAAGTGTATTAATGGAGATGAATTTGCCTCACTTTTTCCACAGGAGGAGTAATGTATTATTAACAAGGCAATAGAGAGCTCAGTTTTAAATAATTAAGCAGGTTTCAGTAATAGATTAACTAAGGGGGAAAAAAAGAAAGAAAAGAAATTAAATAAAGATGAGTTTATATTGATAGAATATTGTTTTCTTTTAAAACTCTTGGTTGAGCACAAACAATACAGGTCATCTTTCTGTCATCTATGCAAGAACACAGTCTTAAAATTATACAGTAAAAAAATGCACCCAAAACCTCAAACCAAAAATCATTAAAAAAAAAAAAAAAAAAAACCAAAAAGCATTTTCATTTCCAGGGCAGAAAGCTTTATGCTGTTTCATTAGTCACACAGAAGAAAGCTTGAATTTATTAGTTAATCTGCTTGAAGACAAACACTCTCCAGATGATTTACGGGCCTTGAAAATAAAGTAAGCATTGATTACATAACACCTTGAATTTTTTGTTTGTTTGGTTTTATATTATGTTTTTTAATTATTGAAAGGTTAAAGCAATTTCACGTGATTTTCTTTCGTGTTGAAAACTAGAACAGCACTTGTTACAGTTTTAAAGTCTTTTTGAGAACACAGGAGGGATCTGCACTAATTGCTTCAGAATGACACATGAAGCTGCATTGGAACTAGAAGTTCAAGAGAAGGTACAGCTGAGGAAGTCCATACTTGAGAGAGAGAGAAACAGCCAGCACTGAGCCAGCTTCCATGATCCCTGCTGCGCTGCCAGCCTTCCATCCAGCGTGCGCGCTGCCAAACAGACCCAACCCACATGGCGTGCATTTGTGATCTGACGGGGAGTCAGAGTTCCTACGGCTTAAGATTTTATTCAGAAAGAAGTTACCATCGCACAAAGTGTGATGGTGGTACTACATGGTAACTGATTCTGGCTCCCGTGGCCGAGAGACTCTTTGAAATCGGCAAAATAAAGGGCCGTCTTGCCCTAACAGGCTCAGTTATATTTATTGTTTGCTCATTCAGACTTTTCTGTGTCAGATCTAAACCTCTGTGTATTCTTAGGTATATTTGTCTTTGTATTTGAGACTTAGTAATATAACAGCAACAGGTGGAAGTCTTTCTTCAAAGACTTTTACAGAGGTTTTTTATTGTTTAGGTCAAAATCTCTATTTTTGTAACTTCAATTAATTTTACTGAAGAATTACAACTCGGAGATGTTGCGTGGACACTCATGGACGTATATTTGTTTTAAAAACGCTATTTTATTCAGAGCTTTTGCATAGTGTGACGTGTGGATAGTCAGATCTCTCAAGTGGGATTGTCAGTCCTTGTCCAGATGGTGGCAAGCTCCCGAATGCTCCGTCCTTGCAGGGCATTATCAGCTGGATCAGGGCTGGTTCCGCAAACTAAGACTCCCAAACTACATTTATTCTCAGCTTGCTGATCTGTGATCCTACAGGACCACTCTAGCCCATGTGATCCATTGCTATAGTTTAGCTTAAGCTACATACAAAACACCTCCTATGTTAACTGTGTACATAAGGCTGTCGTAGATGATGTTATCTCCATCTTCAGAAATAGTTTCTGTTGACCACTGGCAAGTATCTTATCTGTATACTTTTTTGTACACTTTGTACTGTGTACAAAAATGACTTTCTGCTGGTCATTTTTGCAGCAGAAACTGTAAGGGAGGAGCTGTTGGGTCAGCCATAGTCCCTACCCAGGATGGTAGGTAGCGCCCTGAAGTGATGAATGGTTCCTCTCCGTTGTCATATGCACAGGTGGAGCCTGCTGGAGAATTTCTTAGGCTGCCTGAAATTCCTGTATGGAGAGGTCCCACAGCAGTGAGTCAAATGCTTTGTTCTGAAGTGAGAAGTTCAGTCACTACTTTGTCTCAGGTCAACTCATTGTATCATCTGTGCATAATCTGGCGGGGGCAGTGGTCCTGGACCACCCAGCAAACTGATGGGTAAGTGCATTAGGTATGTGGAAAGGCAGTTACAGTTGTACCACAACTACAGACCAAACTTAAGTTTCATCCTTATGTCACAGTTATGAATTAAATTGCATAGACTGTGACATGGAATACACGTATGAGTACAATAGTTCCGAGTTGGTTTTATTTTTTCAAACCACCCATTTTTAAGGCTATAGTTTAAGCAAATTTAAACAAATACCACCGATAATAGTGACTAGTTATATTGTAAGGAAATCTAGCTTTCAGCTCCATTCTCTATAGGTACTGTATACCATCTGAAAGCTATGAACATATGTTGATGGTCTCAGTCTACATTTTAGTGAATAGAATTTTTACTGTTCCAATCACAGTAGATACTCTGCCACAACATAGTTGTGCTAAAACCTAAGAGATTTACTGCCATAGTTATGCTGTACTGCGTGTTGCTTGTGCAATTATGCATCTGAAGATACTTGCATATTGGACCTGAATATTTCATAGTGCTTTGACCTTTTCCTGATGTCTATGGGTACCTCTCAGAAGACTTGAAATAAATTTAAAAGCCTTGCTTTATCCATTTGACTCCTCTGAACTAATGTACAAGAAGACTATATTTGCCCTTCCTCTGCCAAGAAGCTGGTACGTGGACATTACTGTCATACATGTAATGGCCTTTTGTTTAAGTGAATCTTTTGTTGCTATTGGTTGATCTCAACCCCTTTGTCCCAGCCTTGTATGTGATGATGTGGCCCATTAGGTTATACTCTTTTTCAGATAAACTGTTGCTAAAAGCAAGTAAAGCAACACTGGTTTTATAAAGCAAAGCAGGTGCTTGTATTTGGGTAATTACTAAATATTGTATTTGAAGGTGTTTCAGTGTCAGTTATGTTTGTCTTCATGAGTGTAATAGTTTAACTTCGCTGGCAACCAAATACTGAAGGAGTGAAAAGTAACCCGGAACCTAAAACCTCAGTCCCAGAAGAGTGAGAGCCCCTCTTCTCTGCCATCTCTCCTTTATGTTCCAAGCAGGACGTTATATGATACGGAGCATCCATTGGCATATCCAAGGCTGATCTGGGTCTGCTGATTTACTGTGTCCCCTCAACCCCCCGCCCGCCAGTGTCTTCTCTGCCTGCAGATTAGCAAAACATGGGGAGTTGGGAAGTCCTTGGGTTTTTTTTTCTCCCAGCCACAACTAGATATCAGTAGGTTGTCAACATTCTTCTCATACCAAATCCCATACTGAAACCAAAACACAGGGCTATTCTGGCTATTAAGAAGAAAATTAACTCTGTCCCGGCCGAAACCAGGACAATGAGCTACTCAGTAGCCGGCTCGGTTGACCCAGAGAGGTTAGATTCAACATGGTGCAACACAATCCTCTCCAGTTACAAGTTCTGTTACTAAATCCCTCTCCACAATAGCAGAGAAGGTTTCTCAGGTGCAGTGGGTTGCATGTTAGTTAGAGTCAAACAACGCCAAAATTGAGATGGAGAATTTTTGGATGTACCAGGTTGAGTTTCGTAAGAAAAATGTAAGTAGATATTCAAGAGGAGAAATAGGGTAATGTAGTTTTTAATGCTGCACTTAAAAAAAACGGTTTGTAATTCCACTGAGGGATCTCTCTATGTAATAATGGCATGCTTCACATGAACTTACTGTGTTTGTTCTGACAGTGTCTTTGCTAGGGTTCAAAAACTTGTTAACAGACAACAAAGTAGTCACTAAGAATTTATTTTATACTTCAGTTGTAGTGTTATGAACAGCTCTGCAAATTGTCAGTCCGCTATGGTGTATAAAAATATTTCTTGTTATTGTTGTGACTGCATTTTTTCCTTGTGCATTGCATATGGTACCTCTAAAAATGCATTTTAATGCATTTTCAGAAGTGAACTGAGTGTTCATTCTTCAAAGACTCAAGTTTTTTGTGCTAATGTTTTTGAGGACAGCTCTCATGTCATGTCATGTAGCAAACTTTGTAGGATGTTTGATATTTGAGTTTGGTAGTTTTAGTATTGGGTTTTCTTCCCCAGAAGAGTTTGAGCAGACATTCGAACAGAGCACATAGAAAGCTGTGTGATCTTTTTGATGGTTGCTTAATTCTTTTACTTTGTAGATGAAAATAACTGAGCAAAAGTATTTGTAGTCCTACTGAAGTAACTGGTGCCAAATTTCTTCATGTCAGCAACCATCTGTCTTAAATAATTTCTTGTTATCACTTTAGTGTGTGAATATGAGAGCTTTCAGGCATTTTGAACAACTTTATTTTTTGGTGGAAACATTTGATTCTAAAACATGGAATACTCGATTTCTGTGTTTGCTTTTTAAAGCTCAGTCATAAAATATCCTGATACCATTTTTATGTTGATAGTATTGTGAACTTTGTATATTTAATCCTAATACGGAAATACTACGTAACTCCTGGGAATGTGAACACTATGAGGATGGTTCCTTAAGTAAACAGCGGTTGCCATTTGTGCAGTTGAGTCTCTGTGGCACTGTGACTCAGGTAGTTCCACAGCAAGTCTGGGGAGCCTGTATCTCCTCTGCAGCCCCCGTGTGAATGCCAGTGGTGCAATGAGCAATCCTTCAGTCTGATGGCACAAGCACGTTCCAGCGTTCTAGGGACAGTTTCACAGCTGCATCTCCTTTTTTGCCCTGCAGCTGTAATTCAAAATATAGGGTGGTACGAGGACTGTTCTTTTACCCAGGAGATATCTATATAAGGAATTGCTTCTTAACTCTTTTGAAGCCTTTGTTAGTTAACTGTAATTCTAATATTTAGTAATAATCCAAGATAGACCTTTTAAAAGAATGAGGGAAATAGGAGCAGAAGGGAATTTTGCAAAGCTTAGATTTTTTTTTAATTCCCCCGCCCTCATTTTGTAGAACTCAATGTTTCAGCTGGATTGGAGGCATAGCAGGAGGGCACTCCTAAATTTGAGCTGCTGCCAGCTCAGAGCACGAGAAGTATAGCCCTTTTCTGGTAGGACTCATTGGCTTAGAGAAAAGCCATGTCATGTAATTGCTAATGAAACCAGAGTACTATTTAACTGGTTTACCATCATTGATGAATATTGAGCTGGCAAAGCTAGGACCAAACTCCCTATGTTGAAGGAGAGTGTGGAATGCCAGGGCTGCTGGACTAAACATCCAGCTTGCATAGCTAAATGCTAAACCTTCCTTTGAGGAGTCATTTTTTTGGCATGCACACTGACAGGTTTTGAGGTATCTCCGCAAGATCTGCCTTTAAAAATGCCTGCTGAGTTGAAGCTTTGTGCTCTTTATTTCATTTTGGTCACCTAAATTAATTCCACACTCTGTGTTCTTGTGTCATATCCCCATACGAGTCCTCCCTGCTCTTAACTTTAGATACCTTGCTACAACTTTTTAGCATCGCCAGCCTTCATTAAGAATTGCCTATTAATAGAATATCCTTTCCCAGAGTATTCTTTCCCTTTACCAAGATATCTGCAGACAGATCACATAGATCTAGATATTTCATGATACTACTTTTCTATGCTGTTCCCTTTGTTCTTCTGCTGTGACATTTCTAATGACTGTGAATGACTAAGACATGATTGGAAAGACAGTTTCTTCACTGAATTGTTGACAGTGAAGGGAGAAAAATGAGGAAATCTGGTCTAGAGAGCAGGTATGCTACTGAGATCATAGCACAAACTGAGAAATATTTTCCAAGTTTGTGCCGTATCTAGGATGAGGAATCATGGTCCTTGATTACACTGCTATTGAATAGTCCTTGAATATGTTCTTTTTAATCTGTACAATTTATAAAAGTTGTTTTCTAAGATGGTGGAATAACGTTTTTGGACAACCACCTCTGCTCAGATTAGGTTAGTTTAGCACTTCAGCTTAATTATACCTGAGAGCATGTGTGCTTATGGGGAAATGATAGTCCTTTCTTCACTCTCCCCAGTTTGACAACTAAATAATCTTTAGCTGAATCCCTCTGTTCTGGTCACAGTCAGTTCACCTGTCTCCCATCACAGCTTACTTCTTAGTGACTTTATCTTTTTGTTCCTAGAATGTTAGAGTTTAGGACATAGATTTGCATTGCCTGCAGCCTTCAGTAAGCTCACAGTCATTTGCCTGTGTGCAACAGACATGTACTTGTGCAACTGGAAGTCCTGTAACTGCTTAGCTGAACGCTGACAGTAAGTGTAAATATTTGGCCCAATACCAGTATCAGATGATCCTCGATTCACCTTGCAAAAATACAGTTTTATGACATACTTTTGGTTGAGTGTTGCTTACCCCTGAGTATGGCTTTTTATTTTTCCAGCTGCTTCATTTCATACATTACTGACAAGTAAACACAGGTATTTTTTAAAAGATATAGCTGTTCAGAGTAAGTCCACTGAGATATTGATATGTGATCATGGTGATAAAAAGCAAGGGTTACAACATTTTAAAAGTGTTTATCTTGTTGTTTTTTGGTTGTTTTTTTTCCCCTCTCCTCTCTTATTTCCACTGCTAAGTTAGAGGAAAATATGAAAGAAGAATTTCTACATTGGTCACTCAGATTATTGTTTAATTTTCTTGCCATGTCTAGTCTCCATCTCCAGATTCCTCTTCACCTCGGGGTGCTGAATCGTCAAGTAGGCAGCATCACCAGGATGTCTGCAGTACAGCAGAGGCCTCCACTAATAAAGAGGTAGAGTGAAATCTTTTCAAAGCCACTTGTTCATGCTGCTTATGCCTTTTTATTTTCCTTGCCCTTGAACTTGTGCAATCCATCTCTTCTTCCAGAATTGTAACGAACTTGAAAAGCTGATTGGTAGCTCCTTTCCCTCCTGCTTTCCTGGCTATTTGACTGAATTTCTAACATAGTTAAGACTGTTTATAATGTAATTTCTGACTCGGAATTCAGCTGCCACTAAATTTATTTAATAGGCTGGGAAGTATTGATTTACCAAACGCCAACATCACCTCTGTATTAGAAGCAAAATGAAGAAGCTCTTATCTTTGTTCCATGCAGAATGTCTTCCCTCAAATAAAATAGTTTCTCAGCCAGATGAAAAAGCTTGCTTAAATGAAATTATTTAAGTAGTAATTTATGCTGCTTAGCATTTTGTCATTGTAGAAACTGACCTGCCAGTGATTCGCAGTCAGAATTCAGTTCCTGACTGCAGGCTCCTCAAAATAAAGCTAAAGGCTCACTTGTTGGTTTTTTTTTTTTTTTTTTTTGTTTTTCCCCCTCACCTGGCAGGTTTTTACATTGTGAGTACAACTTCTCACAGTATGAAAAGAAAATCATTTGGCGTGAAAAGTATTTGGGTTAGTATAGAATGTCTGGCTCTGTAAACAGAAAAATCTGAAAATACTTGGTTTATCTGCTTTTTGTTTTTCAAACTTGAAAAAAATCTAGAAACTGTAATCTAACAAGATACCATATTATTGCTGATAGCAATGCATGAATTATCTTCCACAATGAAAAAGACTGATCTACTATGACTGGAAATACTGATTAAAATTGAAACACTAATTAGTAATCCATTCTTTCTTTTTTCTGTTGTTTTTATGTCCTGGTTTTTAGCTGTTTCATAATAATAATATATTATCAAGCAATAAAAAAGCTTGTAACATGTATGTATTTGTGCCAGTCTGTATTTGCACTTAGAAAATAATGAAAGGTTTCAAAAGACTTTAATTTCTCATGTGCTAAACCCTTCAACAACAGATTGTGCCATTAAATTTTCCTCTGCTGTATTGTTAGCTTGTTAAAGGCTTTAGCTTGCTTCAGTACGGATTTTGTCACTTCATATATATCCTAACTTTTAGCAGTTTTTAGATAATGATAAACTTACCCAAAGGAAGAAAACAAACAAGGCTACTCATTTCAGCTTTTAGGATGTGCTCACAAGTAGTGTCAGAGGTGGTAAACTAGGTGTCACAGTAGGATGAGTCAGGCTGTTTCCCTCACAAGAGCAATAATCCCTGCTCTAGTACTTCCAATGCAAGAATAACAGTGATAAAGCAGCCTCATAATTTTTGGGAATGGCTTTTAGGTTGTAGTAAAACCTTTTTTAAAAATATAAATTTTGTAATACTAGCTGGCAACAAGATTAACAGGAGTAATGAAACATTAATGGCCTTGATATTTCATTATTCATGGATATGTAAAATTAAAAGGTCTAGGTTTCCTCCTATTTGTAACTTTACCTGTTACTTTACTGTTCCTGTGGTCTTAGTAGAATGCCTTTCAGCCTAGGTAATGAACAAAAAACCTTTATTTTGTATCTGAGATTTTGCAATAAAAGCATATATGATGACAGTTTACACCACTGTATCCTGAAAAGAAGTTGCATCAGCTAGTCAGATTGCTGAGTAGTTGCCAAATCCATAATTGCAGACTTTGTTCACTCTGCTTAAAAGAAATAAAAGTACTTTGGAAAGAGCATTTATATGCACGAGCTGTCTCTGGTATGTAGGGATTTGTCCTCTAGGCCTGTCAGAGTCCACTGGTTGAATCTCCTTCTTAGCACTACACCAGCAGCAATTACAAACAGTTGTTGAAGTCTGTATGGGTGGGTGGTCCTGTGAAAACACTCATCTGTAGAGATGAAAGAGCCACAGATCTTAAAAGGCATGTCAGTGTCCTCACAGTGACTTAAATGCTTTGGCAGTGGGAGATGGTTGTTTATTGACATCTTTATTTATGCTAGTACAACCTCTGATGGAGATCTTTCTTGGTTTTGCAGTACAGCTTAGTCATTTTCATAAGGAGCAGCAAGTAATTAAAAGATGCGCAGGCCGTGCTGTCTGTGTCACACAGCTTTTGTTTTTATTTCACAAGTTGTTTCATTTTATAGCAAGAAAAGCATCATTGGTTGAAAAATATTACTTATTACATCGATTTTCTATTTGTTACAATGGAGGAGACTCTGTGGGGTTAGTCACTCAACCTGTCACATACTTGTGACCTTCCCAGTTTACCTATTTTTTCCGTCAATACACAGAACCTAGTAAATTGCCTATCATAAAGGAAAATAATTTGGCATAGAATCATAGAATGGTTTGGGTT